CCACCATCACGACGACGACGACTACTGCTACACCGACGACAACGACTACGACTATACGACTACGAGTGCCACCGCCGCCGCCGCCACCACCACCACCACCACCACCACCACCACCAACCCCTAACCCGCTACCCTTCCTCTGGAGCACAACACGAAGCGGGCAAATAGATTAGGTTCAAACAAACCTCCATGCTGCTGCACTTCGAAAATAGTTTCACATGCAGACTTGTCGATACGGAGACCTTGCAGCCTGTCGCTCCCTAGCACAGGTCCAGTCCCTGATGGGACAGGCAGGAAGTGTCCAGCCCTCGTACCGGGTTTGCGATGCTGCTGCAAGAGCAGTTGCATGAAAGTATCTACCCGATGCAGTCATCGTGAAAACGCAGCGGTTACTGCAACTGAGACCGACATCACAGTGTATCCCACTTTGCGATTTGGTTTGGTCATCAAGCCTCTCCCTGAGACATGGGTGCACTCCGGATTCTAGCAGCACGGACGCACTCTGTCGGAACTAAGTTGCGGTCACGATGGCGTTCAGAATAGAGAGCCTGACTCCGTTTCGGGAGGATGCTCGGCACCGCAGACTTGGTTAGAAAATGCTGGCCGGCTGCTGGCTCCTTGACTTTCCACATGCCAGACTGGCGACACTCCACGCTACAAGATCGTCCGCTCTTCTTCCGAGAGCTTCAAGGCCAGGCCACCACGAGCAGACTCGATCAGGGCCGTTCTCGACTCGTCTCTGCCAGCCCTACTACGACTCAGACGCCGGATGCGCGTGCCTTCGATCTTGCATTGATGGGAAGGTGTTTTTTTGACTGGAAGTTTCACCGAGGCCGATTTCTGCCACAGGCCACAACAGCAACCGATGGGGCACAGGTCCGCTACCAAGTTCTCTCGGTAGCAGTCCGAAGGACGATCGATCAATTCAATGGATCATGGGTATATAGCGGCATAGTGCAGCTCCAGCATGCAAAACACTGAGAACAGCGAGGTCTTGGGAGGACATCTTGGTCCTGCGAACTGTGTGGGGCCGTCTACTTGCGTGGGAACCCAGATTTTGCGGTTATCAGGCCAGGCTGCCCGTTCTGCAGATTCCCAACAAGTGGGCGGTCAGGCAATGACTTGCCAGAGGAAGTCATGAGCGGAAAAGCTCCCACCTTTCTTGATGCCCGGCACTTGCCATCTGCGTCGGAATGTGCGGCTTCGGTCACAGTTTCGTTCAGGTGCAAGTTGATGCTAGCTACGAGAATCGTGTGATGGTCGCCGCGACATATGATGTGTGCTACTGCGACGAGAACTGTCTCAACAGTGCATACTGGTTCAAGGCGCTTGTTTCCAGTCATGTTTGGCAGTCGTTGTTCGTGTCTCCCAAAGTACACACGTAGGCTGGTACATTGGATGTGGAGCCTGTTGAAAGTCATTTCACGATCGCCAGCGCCTCACGGGTCACACCTGCATGAGCCCGATGTTCGAATTGCCAGCTTAGCCGAGGACTACACCACTGGCTCTTATGGCGAGCTGCCAGCAATTGTCAACACAGGCGCGTGTGCCAAAGATGTCGCTCGCACGACTGCTTGTGTCATTGGAGTCATAATGGGATCTCCAGATCGGCAGGCCGACTGCTTGTGATCCTGGGAAAGGGCACGGATGAGTCACCGGTGCAGGGCAGTCCTTACCTGAGTGTGATTCGCTACTTGCGCCTTGGACGCCCTCAAAGCAGTACGATAAGGCTGGAGTGGAGGCACCGATTCCAAGACACGCGAGATGAAGTTTCTCAGAGATGATGCACGGGCCTGAGACGCTTCCCGGATCTCCAGATAGCAGAACGGGTGTCCGTCCGTGACACTGTCCATGTCGTTCCGAAGGACGGAAACGTGGACAAGGACTCTTGCCTCAACACAGAGCAACCTCTCGGCATCTCCGGACACCGCTTGGTTCTGGTCCTCAGTTCTGGCGGAGACAAGCTTGATTCCTGCTTTCAGATTTCAAGAAACGTAGATGCATGGCTGTTGTTACGCTCTGTATGGCTTTGCGCTCCCGAGATCAGCGGAAACACGGACTACACGGAACCACAGACCATCCTTGAGGTGCCAAAAGACGCACTGCTTGTGCTTCAAGCTCTCAGTGCTGACTGAAAGTTGAGAAGTCTGCAATGGCAATCTGCACGGATACCTTCGATGCAGGCTGAGGATCCTGGCCGCCCTCGTGGACAGTTGTATGGATTAGTCTGCAACACCGCTGCGCTTGCCCCAGATGTCGCAGGCCTCGTCTATGCAGTCGGAGCTTGTTCAGCTACTGCGGTTCTGCAGGTCCCTCCGGTCTGTGCTGCCAACATCCGCATCTCTGTGTGGCTTTCTTGGTTTCCTCGTGTGCATCCGTGCGGACGAGATTTTGCGTTTTTTGCCTGTTTTTTGTCCTGCTGAACAAGGCCGGGCTGGTATGCTGTATGCTACTGTGACTCCAATTGTCAATGCCTGAGCAGCCGGTTGGACCCATGCAGCAAGCTTGGTCCAATGCCCAAGAGCAAGGCAACGAAGTCAGCAACTGGGCGGTGTTCGGACGTCGGCATCTTAGAAGGATTGGCAGGCAAGACTTGTTGCGACAGCTAGCGAACCGGAGTTTGTGTTGAGTCTTGCCTCCTGCTTATCAGCAATGGCAGGTTGTTGCTGGGGGGGTGGGGTGCTTCATTGACATCATCTGGCGAAGTTCGGGTAAGGAACGGAGAGCATACGAGGCAAAGCAAGCTCAGTCCCAATACCAGGCCTGTCGTTTGCTCTCTCATCCGTTAATCACTCTTCCATACTCTTCCTACTCCACACACTCAGTCAATCTCTAACCCGCTTCGCTTGACCACTTATTCAGTCATCCGCACGCTCAGTCACTGGCTCACCTGCTCATGTGCAAGCGCCTACGCACCTACTCAAGCCTCCCATGCCGAGCCAGTGCAACATCTGCCCAGCACCACGACTTGAGCATCACCGGGGGAGATGGGCGAAACGTTCGCACGTCGGCAAGAGCGAAGAATGGCGATTGGCAGAAGCTCAGGTGAACTGATTGCAGGCCCTCTGGCCCGGCAAACCTGGACAAGGCACTGAGCTTGAGCTGGGCTCCTCGCTGTGTGACCTATCTTCTCACCTCACGAGACTTCGTACTTGGGTCCAAGCTGGAAGGTATACAGGTGTCACCTTCAGCATCGACGTGGAGGGCTACGATCTGCAGGACACCAATCGGGTCCTATCCTGAGTCTCAATTGACAGTTTGCCTTGCAGGGCTCAGACCAGGCAGAGGTGTCTTGGGTGTCTTGCTTCCTCAGTGCAGAAACTGTGGGTTTTCAGGCGTTGATCCTGAGTACCTCTCAGCAGTCGGGGGCCTACTGTTGTCCTCGCGAAGCGAAGTATGGACAGGCAACGTGTGTGATGCATGAAAGGCCGCAAGACTGCGGCAACGTGGCTCCAACTGGAAATGCATTCGGTCCCGCCTGAAGCTCAACAAAAAATCTTGGCCACGGCTCAGTCCTACGTTGTAGGCTGCAAAATACAAGTGCATTGCTGCTCCTGATCTCCCGATGTCAGAGGATGCCAAGTCTGCTCTGCTCTCATGTCTGAGGTGGGGCAGGCGACCCTCCACACGCGTGAGACAACGAACTCCAGGATGTCGACGATGGTGCGGGGCCCCCCCTCCCCCTCCCCGAGTCTCGTGCTTTTGTTCTCTTGGAGAGACGAAGAGGCCTGGTCTGACATGGGTACCGAGATCTCCTTCGACAGGCGGGGATTCGGCGCTCAGTTTTTTCGCTTCTGTTCGCTTCCTCCCTTTGTTCTGCGTTCAGGAGCCATGGCCTCAAGGATGGTGACCGAATTCGGTTGTCAGGACTGACGCTTCTTGTTTGGGGCATCCAGGAGGGAGCTTCAGGCCTTCACGTCTCCAGTTTTAGTTTTGCGAGGCCAGTTTCTGTTCCCGGTCGTCATGTGTCATGTTTGTGTCTAGGGGTCGTCCTTTTGGAGATGACTGTATTGTGCACTTTATGCGTCTAGCCGATGTGACAATGGTTGAGACCCGCAGTCCTCCTGTCGAAAGTGATTCTTTTTCTCATCAGCAGCCCTCGTTGCCTTTCTGGAGTTTGCTTGGGTGTCAGAGAGGAGTAAATCCGGACCCGACAGACACCAGCCTACCTGCGCGAAACTTGGCACGGAACCCAGTCGGATTGAACGCACTGACCGGCACATGATAAGTGCTAGTTTGTCGCCCTTTCTCAAGGCACTGAAGCGTGCCGAGATGTACAACACCGTGCACGAGGCTGGTCAATCACTTGTAAGACGCGGAAGTGGAGCATTTGCATGGTGTACGCCGCACGCTCCAGGCTGATGCAGGTCCAGTAGCAGTAACATAAAGTCTGTGGGGACTTGGCTGCAGGTGTTCGTGTCTTGTGATGATGATGCTACATCGTGTCGCCAGCTGAGTTGCCTGAATCCAGCCTCATGAAGCCAGCGTAGACTCAATCTGCAGCCATGCATCACCATCACGAGGCTGGAAGATATTGGTCCCGGTCAGATTCGCAGCTGCTGAGTTTCCAAACATCCCCAACGTACCGAGTGCAGGGTCAGAGTCTCAGCCTGATGGGCCAGAAAGCTTGCAGTCTGCGTTCGTGTTGCAGTGTTGCAAGTGTTCGAGGTGGTCTCGGACCTCCAAAGAGACCTTCAACAAGATCAAGGCTGGAATTTCCGATCGGCGCATTCTTGGCCGGGGCTGTGCCGTCACAGCTGTGAGAGGTGGCGGACGGTGCTCAGTCACCCGAAGGACGAGGTTACGTGGTGTGCTGGCCGCGAGCCCCAGAGAGCCAAAGCTTTCGGTGTCGCAAACCTCACAATGTTCTCTCCTCCCTCCCCTCCCCTCCCCTCCCCTC